CTGCAGTTCTTCACCATGTGCATATGATAGGCTCTAAATGATACGTTGATCATCCGACTGGCGCCAAATTGGATATGTATGACCTTTGTTGACCTCTAAACACCCCAACAACATTGAAATGTATTTTGACTCCACTGCGCCAACTACATTAATACGCCAGCTATATCTCCTCGCTATATCAACGAATCTGCACCACATTTTTTGTGCGTCGTCAGGAAGTGCCGCCGAACGCATCGATGCGTACCGCCTGGTGGACGGGCGCGGAAACCGCGCAACAATTTCTGTGTTAGAACGTGGGGAGCGTTGATGGAAACGAAGCAACAGTTTCCGCGGTGCGGGCGGAGGTGCTGAAAACTGCTGAGAGTATCTGTGGTGGCTGGCGTCGGGCGGCGGTTGCTAGTACCCTGCGGTGGCAATAGGCCGGAGCGGCGCTTGGCTGCGAGGGCCGCTCGAGGCTGCTTGCAGCTTTAATTATTATTATTATTCTTCCACCCAAATGAATTGGCTTTTTGGGGGCTTTATCATATTCAAAAACTCACCAAACTTGGCGGAGGCCTTAAACCTGTTTAAAATTTACGTATTTTAAAGTCGTAGCAAAAATTGCAATAGAAATGTCTCTACGGCGCCACCTAGAAATTGGAAAAACACCCTTTTTTACCCTCTGCTATTCACTTACTTTATCGTAGACACATGAAATTTGGTACACTTGTAGAACTCCCCAAGACGCTCAAAATTTACAATTAATGTCATAGTGCAAGTATCACAGGAAGTCAGCCATTTTTGATTGAAGTTCCCATTTTGACCCCATTTTTGCCGATTTTTGCCGTTTACAGCCTTTGTATTTGATCTATCTCCTCCTAGGGATTTTGATTGATCGACTTCAAACTCGGTCAGTCTGTTCATAAGGCATGTCCCGTCTAAAGTTATCTAAACGGTGAGTTTTTTGAGTATGCTGAAGGGGGGTTAGCAGGGGTTAAAGTTCACCTACTCGCCATAAAAAAATAAACTGCTATATCTCTTACACAGAAACTCACAGAAGCATCAAAGTTTCTGTGATTGATCATCATCGGGTCTTCTACAATACCCTATGGTCGAATGATGACATCACTTAGGCCACGCCCCCTGACAACAGGAAGTGTAATGTTTTACTGTGAACTGTCGCTATCTGACCCCTTTGACCTCATCAACATGAAACTGTGCCCAGACACAGAAAACATGTTGGTGTATTGAGGATTCCAACCCCGACCAGCTTCGATGGAGCAGGTGGGCGTGGTAGCGTGGCGAAGTGACCTGTAACGCCATCGCCATACGTTTGGCTCTCAATTCCACATTTTCGGGCCCAGCTGCTGCAAACTCATAAGGATGGACCCTCATCCACTCCCCAACAGGAATCCATCACAATATTTGGTGGGCGTAGCCTAATTTCTCTATAGCGCCCCCTAGAAACTTTAAATGATCAGCCCCAAGCCATGCTTTAACCTACAAATACGAAACTTTGTACACATGTGTACCTTGTCAGGACGTAAAAAAAAGTCTCTTGGAGCCATGGTCTAAACCCCACAGGAAGTCAGCCATTTTGGATTCAAGTTCGGTTTTTGACCCCATTTTTGCCGTTTACAGCCTTCGTATTTGATCTATCTCCTCCTAGGATTTCGATTGATCGGCTTCAAACTCGGTCAGTCTGTTCATAAGGCATGTCTCATCTAAAGTTATCTAAACGGTGAGTTTTTGAGTATGCTGAAGGGGGGTTAGCAGGGGTCAAAGTTCACCTACTCGCCATAAAAACAAACTGCTATATCTCCCTACACAGAAACTCACAGAGGCACCAAAGTTCTGTGATTGATCATCATCAGGTCTCCTACATTACCCTATGGTCGAATGATGACATCACTTAGGCCACGCCCCCTGAGAACAGGAATGTAATGTTTTACTGTGAACGTTCGCTATCCGCCCCTTTGACCTCATCAACATGAAACTGTGCCCAGACACCGAAGACATGTTGGTGTATTGAGGATTCCAACCCCGACCAGCTACGATAGAGCAGGTGGGCATGGCGGCGTGGCGAAGTTACCTGTAACGCCATCGCCATACGTTTGGCTCTCAATACCACATTTTCAGGCTCAGCTGCTGCAAACTCACAAGGATGAATATTTATCCACTCCCCGACTGGAATCCATCACAATATTTGTAGGGCGTGGCCTAATTTCTCTATAGCGCCCCCTAGAAAACAGCAGCCCATAGGTTATGTTGTTATTAATTATTTAAATATACATTATTATAACTTTTTATATATATAAGTTTATTTTGTGGGTTAAATTACAAACATTCATTCATTTTTGCTAGAAATAATACAAACAAAGTCATTCAGCAAAACTTATGACACAGCGAAGTAAGAACACACTGGGGTCAGTGTTGATGGAGTACCACTGGCACCTTGTGGAGAAATACTGGTACTGCTAGTGCAATACCAGTATTGCGACAGCAGGAGGCAGTGGTACTCCATCAATGAGAAAACAGATCGACGCTACGTAATAACAGTCAGCCGGCGACAGCTGGAGCTGCAAAGTTTTCCTGAACATTTTGCTTGCTTTTTGGAGCCACAGAACTGGACTACGCTCAACATTTTGCTTGGATTTTGGAGTTGCAAATACGAACCACGCTTTGGAGCAAGAAGGCTCTGTTGGACTGGAGTTGGAGAAGTTTAATGGGCTCTTTGCACCTCAGCTTACACGTTCGGGAAACACGGCTGAAATGTTTTTCCAAGGTAACAATTAATAATGTACATCGATCCGAAACCCCAACAAGTAAGGCAAAGAAAGGTTTTAAGATGTTCGCCTCGTTATACATTCACAGATATGAAGGTGAGTTTTATTTTCTTTAAACTGCTAGCACAAGCCTGCTAGCTTTCTAGTAAAAATCTGCTATTTAATTATCTAAAGATTTCTCTGCCATTCTAACGGACACTGTTTGTGCCTTATTTTCAAGCATATTACGTGTGTTTATTGTTAACGACAATAAAGCAGCGGGGAGGGGGTGGGGGGGCAGATTACAGTTCAGACTTTTTGCTTGAAGTATGACGAAGAAAAACGAGCACAGAGCTTACTCTGGTATCGGAGTTCTAGTTCAGCTGACTGTTCAGATTCAGAGTTATTACTTTTAGAAAAATATGGCCGTGTTGCTTAAGATTTCTGTGTTATTTCGTTTTATTACTTTTGCATGCTTGTTGTGAATGGCTCATTAAGACAGTGTTTAGAGCGGTGTGTACGGCGTTAGCTTCAAGTGGTAGCTTTAACTTGTAGCAACGAATATTTACAAGCTGTCTTAATTGAGGATGGCTTGGAAATCCATGAAAACTTAAACAAAGTACATAGTATTGTTTTATTTGTGTTTTAAGTACAACTTTGTCTTTTATAGCAGTCATAGTTTCTGAAAGTGGAAAAAAGAGCCGCATTCGGGTATACAGTTGTGACGTCAGCGCGGCAGGTGCAAAGAGCCCATTGCTGTTAGTTTAAACAGTCGTAACTCGCGGTGCGGTGAGTCATTTATTCCTTCCTGCTGGTTCTGGAAGCCGTCATGTTTGGAACAGTTATTCTGAGGAGGATGCTAACCCAATGCCTGAGGCCTGCAACGTTTTTAATGCTAACGAAGCGCTTGACTAATTCAATAAACTGAATAGTGTGTTTGATACATCCAGTTTCATACATTCAGAGTTGTTCGTTATTATGTATAGAAGATGTTTAAAATGTCGTTTGAAAGAGCTCTGAGAAAATGCTAAGTATCTTTTTACAGATCCATTGGGGTTGTAATATTTAGTTGCAGCACTTCCTGTGATTAATACCTAATTAATGGATGGGATTCAGTCTGTGCTATTGTTCTAAAGTGCTGAAAGTTAACTGTGCTCTGTTATTGTGCATTGCCCTTGGTTTATTACTGAACAGTGCGGTTTATTAAACTGATACATCTTAACCTTCACCATTTTCCTGACTCATTTCACGATAACGTTAAAGTTGCACTGCATTTACATCTCAGTTGTAGTTAACATCAAGCATGTGGGTGTGGCTTAGTGTAAAACTTTCACTATTTACCATGAAACATCAACATTAAATGACTTCCAAATGCAAGATCACAGCTGCATCATCACACTTCCTCTGTCTTTCTAGAGAACAGCCCTGAACACATTTCCATGGTCACTTGATGACCTCACTGTAGCCCCGCCCACTTTTAAGAGGCAGTCACATGTTTTTTCTGCTGTATGTTTTACTGTTATTCTATAATTTATATGGGTTTCATCATGTGAATACTGACTAAAAACGATAACATGATGAACTCTATGAATGCTGGCTGCTGACCGAACCGCATTGGGGTGTAGAAATGACGAAATGCATTACTTCGCCACGTGCATATGATCGGCTCTAAATGACACGTGGATCATCGGACTGGCGCCAAATTGAAAACGTATGACCTTTGTTGACCTCTAAGGAGCAAAACAGCGTTGAAATGTATTTTGGCTCCACTGCGCCCCTACATTAATCCGCCAGCTGTATTTCCTCGCTAAACCAATGAATCTATACCACATTTTTTTGCATCTTGAAGGATAGCCGCCGAACGCATAGATGCGTACCGCCTGGTGGACGGGCGCGGAAACTGCGCAACAACTTCTGTCTTAGCACGTGCGCAGCGTTGATGGAAACTGAGCAACAGCTTCCGCGGTGCGGGCGGAGGCGCTGAAAACTGCGTGAGACCTTCTGTGGTGGCTGGCGTGAGGCGGCGGTTGCTCGTACCCCGCGGTGGCAATAGGCCGGAGCGGCGCTTGGCTGCGAGGGCCGTTCGAGGCTGCTTGCAGCTTTAATTTAAGTTTTCATTCATTTATGTATTTCTTTTTAGTTATCTTAGTTTTTCTTTATGTATGCGTTTTTTAGCTTCACATTTTAATTAATTGTTAGTTTTGTTGTGTTATTTATTGTTACTTTTAGTACTTCTGGTATTTCTGTCTCCTGCAGGAGCCGCAGCCTGCGGACGCCGGCCAACATGTTCATCATCAACCTGGCCGTCACCGACCTGCTGATGTGCATCACCCAGTCGCCCGTCTTCTTCACCACCAGCATGAAAAAGAGGTGGATCTTTGGAGAGAAAGGTAACCGTGGCAACCGGCTGAGGAGCGGGGGGCTTCATCCAGCAGGGGGCGCCACAGGCTGGAGGAGTTTATGTCTCATAAATGACTCCGGATCATTTTTCAGTCATTTAAAAAACTGTTTCTGGATTTTTCAGAGTAAATTTTCTGCCATGGTTACAGAACCGACAGCTGAGAGCTGTTAAAGAGCAGTTACAGAGGCTGAACACCAGGGGGCGGCAAACTGGAACCGCTTCCCTTGACTGGTTCCTGACTGGATTCTGACTGGTTCCTGACTGGTTCCTGATTGGTTCCTGACTGGATTCTGATTGGTTCCTGACTGGATTCTGATTGGTTCCTGATTGGTTCCTGACTGGATTCTAACTGGTTCCTGACTGGATTCTGACTGGTTCCTGATTGGTTCTTGACTGGATTCTGATTGGTTCCTGAGTGGTTCCTGACTGGATTCTAACTGGTTCCTGATCGGTTCGTGACTGGATTCTGACTGGTTCCTGATTGGTTCCTGAGTGGATTCTGATTGGTTCCTGATTGGTTCCTGACTGGATTCTGATTGGTTCCTGACTGGATTCTGATTGGTTCCTGAGTGGTTCCTGATTGGTTCCTGACTGGATTCTGATTGGTTCCTGAGTGGTTCCTGACTGGATTCTGATTGGTTCCTGAGTGGTTCCTGACTGGATTCTGATTGGTTCCTGACTGGTTCCTGATTGGTTCCTGAGTGGATTCTGATTGGTTCCTGATTGGTTCCTGACTGGATTCTGATTGGTTCCTGAGTGGTTCCTGACTGGATTCTGATTGGTTCCTGAGTGGTTCCTGACTGGATTCTGATTGGTTCCTGAGTGGTTCCTGAGTGGATTCTGATTGGTTCCTGAGTGGTTCCTGACTGGATTCTGATTGGTTCCTGATTGTTCCTGAGTGGATTCTGATTGGTTCCTGAGTGGTTCCTGACTGGATTCTGATTGGTTCCTGATTGGTTCCTGATTGGTTCCTGACTGGATTCTGAGTGGTTCCTGACTGGTTCCGGCTGCGTTCAGATCATCTCTTCCAACAGGAAGATTGATCTGACCTGTCCATCTGTCTGACTGAGTCCAGAGATGTGTCTGGTTCTGTTTGTCCAGACTGTGATTCCGTGTTGGAACCAGAACCAGAACCGACTGATCCGTCATTCTTCTTCTCCCCTGCAGGCTGTGAGCTGTACGCCTTCTGCGGCGCCCTCTTTGGGATCTGCTCCATGATCACGCTGATGGTGATCGCCATCGACCGTTACTTCGTCATCACACGCCCTCTGACCTCCATCGGCGTGTTGTCACGGAAACGGGCGCTCCTCATCCTGCTGGCAGTGTGGGCGTATTCGCTGGGCTGGAGCCTTCCGCCGTTCTTCGGCTGGAGTGAGAACGCGCGGTGACATCATCATGACTATGACGTCATCATCACGATGATGACGTCGTCGTCATGACGACTGGGCCTGTTGCAGTGATATGATGATAATGACAAAATAATGAAAGATCTGATTCTGAAAGATGAATAAACTTTATTTTCTAATCAACATTTAAGTCTGGAAGTGGAGGACATTTTTAATATCTAAAACAAAGAAAAGATAAAATAATTAAGATTCTGGAATCAAAATGATCCTGAAATGCTGGTTGAGCAGAAATCACATCTGACTCTCTCTCCAGGTGCCTACGTACCTGAAGGCCTCCTCACCTCCTGTACCTGGGACTACATGACCTTTACCCCCTCGGTGCGGGCCTACACCATGCTGCTCTTCATCTTCATCTTCTTCCTGCCACTCTTCATCATCATCTACTGCTATGTCTTCATCTTCAGAGCCATCCGCTCCACCAACCGGTCGGTCCCGGTTCTGTTCAGGTGCTGTGGGGCTGGAGGCCCATCGACCCACCGTGTGTGTGTGTGTGTGTGTGTGCAGGGCGGTGGGGAAGCTCAGCAGCTCTCGGGACGCAGTGAAGAGTTTCCACCGACTGCAGAATGAATGGAAGATGGCGAAGATCGCTCTGATCGTCATCCTGCTGTACGTCGTGTCCTGGTCGCCGTACTCCGCCGTCGCTCTCACCGCCTTCGCAGGGTAGGACACACACACATGCATGCACACACGCGCCGACACACACACACGCCGACACACACACGCATGCATGCATGCACACACACACACGTTTAATTTAATAAAAGCCATCAGCATTATTACTCTGTGACCTGGTCTGAGGTTTCCCCCTGATAAGGGCTTCATAACAAAGCTTCATGACGCAGCCATCATGAGCCATGAGCTTCATGATGGCTGCCCTTCATGCTGCTACATGATACCATGATGAGGAGCCATTATGAAGCCATGCAGGTCTGACTTTCCCCCACATATCAAGAAATGTTTGACTGATCAACACAAACACCTCAGTACAAACATTAAGCTAATGCTAACAGCAGGAGCACGGTAATATACTGGATTTGGCTAAGATTCTGAGAAAAATAACTCACAGTAGAAGAAGATGAAGCATCTATAGACACCAGGACTGAAACTATGAGATTAATTTAATAAAAGAAAAACAGAACAGTCAGTAAACCAAAACTGAACAATAAATATAAACATTTTACATTTAAGATGAAAAAAAATCTTGTTGGTGTTTAACTTTGTTCCACCAGAACTCCCAGTTCAGTTTTAGCTTCAGCTGCTTCACATGCTGGAAGAATCTCCTGTTAATCACATTTTCTGTCCAGTCATTAATCTATAATTCGTCACCAGATTGGCTCTGCGCTGTATTAGTGTCCAGCTTGAGCTGGTTCCTCTCCAGTATTTTAGCTGGAGATGCATCTTTTACTGCAAAAGATCAAACTTTCACCAGAAATGAGTGGATTACTGGGAAAAACTATTAGATCAAGTAAAATCTTCCTCTTTTCACCAGCTGGGGGCGCTCTTTTAAGAAACCAAACATTAACCAGACCATGATTTTGTCAGGTTGGTGCCTGACAGACACCGCTGAGGGCTGAACGACGCGTTCTGATTGTCTCTGCTTCAGGTACGCGGACATGTTGACCCCCTACATGAACTCCGTTCCCGCCGTCATCGCCAAGGCCTCCGCCATCCACAACCCCATCATCTACGCCATCACTCACCCGAAGTACAGGTGAGACTTGCTGGGCCAGCAGGGCATTTAGCGATCAGCTGGGTTAGCATAATCATCTCTCCATTAAATTTACATTTGAAACTCTGACCCATTTTCATTCAAACACACCAAGTTGTTTCTTAAATCTTGGTGGCCCCCTGCTGGCCCGGAGGCCCTAAGACAGGGGTGTCCAAATTGCGTCTCGGGACCCGTTTGGGGCCCTTTGAGTGATTTGTTCTGGCCCACATAAGCAGTTCAAAAAATTTGTTTATTAACCTTTTTGATTTTAATCAGGGTAAAATTATTACAGAGATAATTTTCCTTGAAAGGAAAATATAAAGTACAACATAAATTATTAACATGTTTATAACCAGAGTTTTATAATACATAGAAACACGTTTATCCAGAAAGTTTCACTAGAAAAACGACTTTATTAAATATAAAACAAACTTTTATATTTAAAAGGTTTATTTCACTTATTAAACTTTATAAATAAAACCATGATCCAAATCTTGTTTAATAACTTTAAATACATTTGTTCACTAAACCTAAAATAATTTGAAAAATAGAAATATTTGATCCATAAAAAGTCAAAATAAAAAAATTTTTCTTGGCCCACCAGTACTTTGACTAGACTATTTTGGCCCAAATTTGTAATTTTCTCTCTCTATTTATTTTATTTCTATATTACAATATCGTCTTTACAACAAGAATTTATTTCATTTTAAAAATGTGTTAAATCTGTGAATTGCCCACTGAAACAGAACATGCCTCCTGTACTGCAATAACGATTTGATTATGAAATAATTTAGTTGATTTTGTGTAAATTTTGACCCGTTTCAGACGGCGGGTCTGATGCTGCGGTTCAGAATGAGGGGATAAACAGGAAGTGGGTCAGCTGACGCTCCAGATGAAAGCGGCAGCTGATCGGATCGATCAGGACGTTAATCTGGATGAAATCTGAATCATCCTAATGGCTGCTAACTGGAGCGCTTGAATTAACTCCACAGGAAGGGTTTTTACAGGTTAATGACCCGTGTCCATCAGGGGGATCTGGCGCCGCCCCCTGCTGGTCGGACCTGCTGGTGTTAGTGGCTCAGAGTTTCTTCTTCTGTGGTTCTAGGCTGGCTCTGGCCAAGTACGTCCCGTGTCTGGGTGCGCTGCTGTGTGTCCGTCTGCGTGACCTTCACTCCTCCAGCAGCAGCTTCCTGTCAACGCGCCGCTCCACCGTCACCAGCCAGAACTCCGACATCAGCAGCCAATACCGGCACAGCGCAGCCAAGTCCCGCCTCTCCTCCGGCTCCGACAGCGAATCGGTGAGACCCCACTGCAGCGTTTCCTCTGCAGAGAGGAAGTAGTGCTGAGTGTTTCCTCTGCAGAGAGGAAGTAGTGCTGAGTGTTTCCTCTGCAGAGAGGAAGTAGTGCTGAGTGTTTGCTCTGCAGAGAGGAAGTAGTGCTGAGTGTTTCCTCTGCAGAGAGGAAGTAGTGCTGAGTGTTTCCTCTGCAGAGAGGAAGTAGTGCTGAGTGTTTGCTCTGCAGAGAGGAAGTAGTGCTGAGTGTTTCCTCTGCAGAGAGGAAGTAGTGCTGAGTGTTTCCTCTGCAGAGAGGAAGTAGTGCTGAGCTGTTCTGGCCCCCATAAGCATTTTAAAAAATTTGAACTGCTTACGGTTATGGTTCTGTCTACAGAAAGCGTCTCTTCCTGTCACTTTCTGCGGACAGGAAGGGACGCTGAGCATTAGCGTTCCTGTTGCAGGGTCTGACGGACACGGAGGCCGATCTGTCCAGTCTGGGCTCGCGGCCGGCTAGTCGCCAGGTTTCCTGTGACATCAGCAGAGACACCGCCGAGCCGCCAGGCGGAAAACGGTCGACCAGCTTCAAGGCCAAGCTGAGGAACCATGACTCAGGAATCTTTGAAAAGGTAAAATGTCTGATCTGGATCTGGTTTCACTTCAGATTTGTTTCGTCTGAACTCTGTTACGGCGCCATCTGCTGCTGTGGGACGTCTGGAGGGACGATGTCCTTCCTTCAGGACCAGTCTGGATCTCCTGGTTCTGGCTCTCTGGTCGAACAGGACCTGTTCCAATTCGTCCTTGTGGACTTCAGAGACCGTCTGTCTGTCCTTTTGTTTGTCCCTGCTGACATCTGGTCTCTTTGTCTCTTCCAGACGTCGTTTGACACCATGTCCATGGGAGGAGTCAGCGAACGCAGCAGTGTCCCAAATGTGAGTGGAGACGACCGTCCATTACCTCCAGTGCCCTTCATGTTGTCCTCCTGCTGACCTCTGACCTCTATGTCCCTGCCTCCCTGGACAGAGCGGGGACGCCTCAGAGGGACACCTGATGAGGGGACAGATCGGCCGGATCCCCAGCATCGTCATCACCTCAGAGACCAGCCCCTTCCTGTCCATTGGCCGGAGCGGCTCGCGGACGTCCCGGCCCAAAGCCTCCAGCGGAGCCCTGGGGGCGGGGCCAGGGTAGAGCCCCGCCCACCAGTCATATGACTGGTGCAGATCTCAGCAGATAAAACCAGAGTTTACAACTATTCAAGTTATTTTAATGTGACAAAGATCTGTCAACCTTCATGAAGACTGAGGGGAAAACTAAACAAACTGCAGTGGTGGGCGCTAATCTGCTAATCTGCCAGAAGCTGAGCTAATGTTTTTTTTAGCGCTTTAATGTCAGCTTCCACCAGATAATGAATTGTAATTGAACTTTAGCATTAATGGTACTGACAATCATGGTTAGTGCTTGTGGTTAGCATGTTAGCATTAGAGAAAATAATGTTTCTGGTTACTCAAACTAAATTTGTGGTTATCACATTAGCGTTAGCTGAATGGTTAGCGCTTTAGCATCAGCACAGCTAACCAGTTAGCTAGCAGTCCCCACCACTGCTGAGCTGTCATTGAAAACAAACCAAATTAATCAAGTTCAGCTTTAAACAATATAATCCAGATTCAGACAGAAAGATGTCGGGACAGAATCCGGATCGGGATTAACTGAGACGGCAAGGGAGCAGAACCAGCTGGACGGTTCTGATGAGATCTCAATCTGATCAGAAAACATCTGCAAACCTGTACAGATGTCCTCTGCTATGATTGGCTGGTTCCGACTGAACCACTCCAAGTTGACCCCAAAGAGAACCGGTCCAGGGTCAGCTTCTGATGGTTCGTTCCCCTGAGGGAGGAATCCAGATGTTCATGTTTGTTGTTGTGTATTTATGGAATGTTTTTCCTGTTTCACTTTTTATTGTTCTGAATGTTTAGATGTTTTCTGGTTCTGGAACCCAAAGCCGGTCCAACTGAACCGGAACAGAACCCTGTCCTGAAGCTGATTGGTTCCAGATGACATGATGTCACTGAGAGTTTTGAGCTCCAGGTGAACGACCTTGTGGCCCCGTTTGGGTCGGGATGTTCCGGTCCAGCCAGCATAGCTGGAATGTTTCTCTGCTTTTTGTTTTCTGGACGGTTTTTGTTTGGTCACTAAAACTGGAGCAGAACCTCCAGTCCAGAACCTTTGAGTGGTTCTGTCACCTCCCAGACCTGCAGAGTAAATATTAATGTTCGTGATCCTGAAGCTGTAAATGTTCTGAGTATTTATGCCGACCCGTGTTGACCCGGTTTATTTTTCTAAATAAAGATCCGTTCTCCAGCCCAGCCGCTCTGTCTGGTTCTGTTCTAGAACTATTAGTGATGCTCTTGTAGCGTAGTTAATCCTGCGTTGTGTCTTTTTGAGGCAAGAAAAGCCAAACAACAGCTGATGTGCAGATGATTTTAATGCACCTGTGTAGCCGACTTGGACTCTGCGTTGTGTAATAAAAGGGACCAGCAGACGAGGACTCGGGATGTCTAGCAGGTTTATTCTGTTTTAAAACAAAAATAAATCAGTGCAACAGTCTGGGCTCCGACTTTCCCACATACAGCACACACCTCTCCCCAGCGCAGTTCGGCGCGAACTCACGCAGAATTCCATCAGAGGTTCACTAACATTGTTTAACATCTAAACAATCAAAACAAAAACAAACAAATCACCTGCCCGACAGTCGCCACTCCCACAATTCAGATTGAATCAATAAAAAGATATATATGAAAACATATTAATTACATTACTCTAACATCCAGATAACACTTTGAAGAAACTCACATACCTGTTTTAAAACAAAAATAAATCAGTGCAACAGTCTGGGCTCCGACTTTCCCACATACAGCACACACCTTAAACGATCAAAAAAACAAAATTAACCAGGTTGCCTTGGTAAACTCAACAAATGTCGGAATGGTGGGAATCAGACACCCAATACAGTACTGCACCAACATAAAACAGTACAAAACAATATAAGATATATTAAATTAGCAAACATACTTTTCTTAGAATATCTGGAATGTTTTCATAAACAAACTGATGACGGCTCTGTGCACTCACCTCTCCCCAGCGCAGTTCGGCGCGAACTGAGGAGAGTAGCGCGAACACACAGGATGTGACGCAAAAACAGGAAACAAGAAAATAAACAGGAAACAAGAAAATAAAAGCTTCTTTACCAAAATAAAATTACAACTCAAAATCCAAGAAAAACAAATATACATAGATAATGAAAATGGATTTGGGATGAAATATAAACAAGTTTTTTTGCATACTTGCTACATCCACCCCTCCTATATTTCACCAAAATCCAAGTCAGTCTAAATTTCACAATCCTTACACATGAATAAACTGACAAATTTGATAAAATTTTAGCACAGGGTTGCCATAACCAAGTATAGCATTCAGCTTGAGAGCCACCTACAAAACAGGTTACGAAGGAACATATGGTTGATCAGGCCTATGCCCTTCTCAGATCAATATGATGCCATTTACACCATACAATTCTGTGCCAGCTTTAACCCCATAATCACAATACCAGATGTATATTTGAGGAAAACCATATTCCACTACAGTTACAATGCTGAACTGTCCATAAACAGGACTCGAAACAAATAAATTCACTCAAAACCATGTAAGAATGGACTGGGACTTTTGGCTCACAGAGTTTGCCAAATCCCTAAAATCAAAAGGTCTTTGAACCATAGACTCAATGAGTCTGTTCACCCTTTTGCTGACCCGACCCACCGAGTCCTAACAACTTGGTCAGCATTCTCTGGAAGATGACACATGTCCATGTTAGCATCTGAATTCACAGGAAGAGCATCTGTGTCTGTAGAATGAACTTGACTCACTGTGTGCAACTCTTCTCCTGTCACATGACTATCAGCATGTTCATCTGAGGGTTCCATTACACTGTGAGGCATCACAAGACTCTGGTTGGGTGAGTCTGGTTCTGACACCTCTCGATCCAGAGCAACCTTGCCCTCACAGTTTGTCAATTTACTCATCTCCCATTCATTATCTCCGACATCCAATCTCCTGCCTTCCAAAGCATCAAAGGAGTCCAACAGGCCCTGTGCATCCTCTGGGCTGTCAACAGCCATCTCATCCTGAGCTGTTCCCACAGGTAGAAAACTGATGTCCAATATCAGATTCCTGTGCACAATCTTTTTGTTACCTTGCTTGTCTTCCAACTTGTATGTGTGAGTTTGGAGATTTCTGTCAACAACTGTGTAAACTTTAGCATTCCACTTGTCGGATAGCTTTTTCTTCCCTCTTTCACCCTTGTTTGCTAGCAATACCCTAGCTCCTATATTCAAATGGGTACCTTTCACTTTTCTGTTGTACCCTTCTGCCTGTTTATCTTGTTCTTCCACAGCATGTGCTTGAGCGATCTTAGCTGCCTCATACAGATGTGACATGAGAGTTTTGGCATAAGTTTTATAATCAGTAGTCACTGGATCACATAACACTTGCTTGAAGATCACATCCACCGGGAGCCTTGGAACGCGACCAAACATGAGTTGGAATGGAGCAAATCCTGTAGTCTCATGAACAGTTGCATTATATGCAAAAGTCAGGGTTTGTATTTGTTCAGGCCATTTGTTCTTCTCTCTGAGTGGCAGTGATCTGAGCATGCTGCCAAGCGTGCGGTTGAACCTCTCGGTGCCCCCGTTCCCCATGGGGTGGTACGCAGTGGTGTGAGACTTCGATACTCCTGCCAGTCGAAGGAGTTCAGCAATGAGCTCACTTTCAAAGTTTGCTCCCTGATCAGAATGGATCCGTTCAGGAAATCCATACACACAAAATACATGGTCCCACAACTTTTTAGCAACCTGCTTCGCTGTCTGATTGGTGCATGGAAATGCATGAGCTAGCTTTGTGAAGTGATCGGTCAGGACAAGCACATCCACTGAGTTTTGCTTTTTATCCTCTGCGCTCCAGAAGTCTAAACACACCAACTCCATTGGGGCAAAGGTTCTTATGCTTTTAAGAGGGGCTCGAGCACAAGGTTCTGGTGTTTTGGCAAGAATGCACCTCTGGCAACACTTGACATACTCTTTCACATCAGCATCCATCTTCGGCCAAAAAAATTTGTCTCGCCAGGTGAAGTGTCCGTGCCTGTCCTTGATGTCCAGCCATGTCATGGACGCCTTGCAAGGCTCTGTCCTTGAGGCTTTCAGGAAGAACAAACTGATGTCTCTTCTGTTTGCTGATGGGATCTCGAGTGACTCTATAGAGGATTCCATTCTGAATCTTGAGCCTCTCCCACTGTTTAATGATCACCATAGCTCCTATGCCAAACCCTGCTCTTTCACGTCTGGATGGACGCCTCTCTCGAATAATGAATGGCAAGGTCTTGGAAACATCAGGATCGAGCTTTTGGGCATGTTGTAATTCATTCAAAGTGAACATAGGGAGAGAATCTTGTCCTGGTGTGCCCAAATCTTGGACAGACTGGATGAGCGCTACTGCGCGGGTCTCAGCAACCAAATCCCACTGGTCATGCATCTCCAGAACAGCCTTGACTGCATCACACTGGTAAAGTTGCGAACTACAATGAAGTTCTGGACTGACACAAGATAGTTCCTTCACTTTTTGGTTCTGGACCTTTAGGTGAAAAGCATCTTGGATCCCATCTTGGCTAATACTATCAGCTTCCATAAGGAGACGAGAATAGCCCTCAGTGATGATCCTATGGCTGACAGTTGTTGCAAATGGATCCCTACTGAGAGCGTCAGCCACTGTGTTCTTGGACCCAGGTATGTGTTTCAGATCAAAAGAGAAGGGTGCCAGCTTTGCAACCCAACGCTGCTCACAAGCATCAAGCTTTGGCTTTGTCATGATGTAAGTGAGCGGGTTGTTATCAGTCCATACAGTGAATGTTTGACCTCTTAACCAATGACTGAACTTCTCACATATACTCCATTTCAAAGCCAAAAACTCAAGCCTGTGAGCTGGGTATTTCTTTTGAGAATTACTCAACGTCTTGCTGGCAAATGCGATGGGGCGAGCCTTCTCTTCTCCAGCTGGTACTTGAGACAAGACAGCTCCAAGTCCATCCAGTGAAGCATCAATAGACAAAATCAGAGGCTGTGAGAAATCTGGGTGCGCAAGAATGACACAATTCAACAGCTTTTCTTTAAGACTAAAAAAAGCTGTTTCACATTCCTGTGTCCAGTCAGATGGTCTCAGTTTTCTGTAAGAACCTGCATTAGTTGTTGTTTTGGTTTTGCCCTTCCTCTTCTGTCCAGCGGTTAGAGCAAACAGTGGCTTGGCAACAGACGAACAGCTCGGAATGAATGTTGGTAATAAAATACCATCCCAAGAAAGGACTTGATCCTCTTGACTGAAGGCGTGCATCCATCATCCTCCATCAAGTCAACGTTTGTCATTTTCGTAATGACTTCAACCTTTCCAGGGTCGACAGACACTCCATGGCCGTCTATGATGTGCCCCAGAAACTTCACTGATGATCTCATAAAGTGACATTTCTTGGGGCTCAGCTTGAGGTTGTACAGACGAAGGCGTTGGAACACAACCTCTAACCTCTCCAGAGACTCTTTTTCGCTCGAAGCAAATACAAGGAGATCGTCCAGGTAGCACAACAAACTGCTAAAGTTCAAATCCCCAAATATGCTGAGCATCATCCTCATGAAAGAGGCAGGACTGTTACACAGGCCTTGGGGCATTCTATTATATTCGTACAACCCCATTGGAGTTGTGAATGCCGTGTATTTCTTGTCCTCCTCCGCCATAGGAATGTTGTAAAATCCTGATGTCAAATCCATCGTGCTGAAGTAAGTATTGCCTCCAAGAGCGGCTAAGCAGTCAGACTGATGCGGAAGTGGGTGTGCATCTTTGAATGTCCTTGCATTTAACCACCTGAAGTCTGTGCATATCCTCAGACTGCCATCCTTCTTCCAGACCAGCACAAGAGGAGAAGCATATTCACTCACTGATTTCTTTATGATCTCCTGTTCCTCCATGTCAGATAAAACCTGACGCAGCTTGTGATAATGAGCTGGTGGGATACGGCGATATGGAAGACGAAATGGTCTATCATCAACAAGTCGGATACGATGTACAAAGCCTTCTGCCTTGCCACAATCCAGAGCATGCTTAGAAAAAACATCATTATATTTTTCAAGCAGCTCGACCAACTTTGTTTTCCCTGCCTCATCAGTGTGGCATAAGCCAATGTCGAGGTCACCGAGCCCAACCTGTTGCAGTCGCAGCTTCAGATCTGCGGGCCTCACTTTGACATGTACCTTCTCTGGAGCAGCGGTTTCAACCTGGTTGATGCCTTGAAAGGTTTCAAAATCTTCAACCGCCAGGCAAGGGGACACATCTGCCAACTTGCAGTTTCTTTTCAACGTGGTGGGCTTGTCTGACAGGTTAGCGACTTTTAAAGGAACCCACCTATCTCCCCATAAAGGAGTGATAATGCGAGCAACCATGATGTTGCGCGGCATTGACTTAGATGAGGTTGGTTCAGTAATTACAGTACTCCCTGGGGACATGGGGACATTATATGGTAGCTTACCCCACACCAGATGTTCAGTCCTTGCCAGTAGAGTAACAGACTGTTGTAATTTGACTGTGCCGATCTTCTCTGGAAATTCTTCACCTCTCCACCGAGAAGTACTTGCCATCATGTCGAGAAACTGCTCACATTCTGGGAGAAGACTGGGGCTGGACACTAGACGCCAATAGTCATCTGTGATCTTCAGCTGATGCATGAGAAATCTTATGACATTTGTGCCAATGATTAAATCGTCCCTTTGGCCTGGCACTACTAACACAGGGACAACACATGTCTCGCCATACAGTTTCATTTCCACTTCATACATACAGCGGGGTTTGCTGAGCGACCCACCACAACCAATGAGAACTATTTCTTGAGAGAGGGGAACAGGTTCTGAGAGTGAGTCCTGATTCAGCATCATTTGTTCCACCTTCTCACTCAATGTGCAGGCCATGGAACCAGAGTCAAGCATCCCCTTTAACTGAAACTTGTTATTTAAAGTCACAGGTGTATAAAACAGTTCATCAAATGGCTCGACTTGTTGTGTGTTTTGAGCTATTACCCTAGCACCAACTGGTGCTGCTGCACATGCCTTTTCATATTGCTGTTCAATGTCATTATTATTATTGAGGGTTTTTTCTTTTGAGCCCACACCACCCCTCATCCCATGCAGGCCAACTAGTTTAAATGCTGGGGGTCTTGAGACTGAAGGCCATGCTCACTTCTGGTAGATAAGCGGTTTGGACAGTCTCGCTTAATATGATTTGGTTCAAAGCATGCTAAACACAAATGTTTCTGTTTGCAGTGTGAGATGGTAGAATGATCTCGAGACTGACAAACCCTGCATGCTTTGTGGTGCACTTGGCTGGGTGAATTCTGTTTGCCTGCAACCTGACTGTTCTGTGAAAGTGCACGTTCAAAGAGACTGACTAAAGTTTTCATGCAACCGTCGTTGCAATGTGACGGGCTGCGGCACCAGTCTCTCGGTGTGATGGATTGTCTCTTAAGTGGCTGGGTGGTGGTGATAATTGCTCAGGAACAGGAGCTTGAGCATGAGCAGTAGCTAGTTTAGGATATCTTGACCTGGAAGATGTCTGCTCTCTGGTTTCAATTTGGTAACGATCAACGTGTTCCTGAATTTCACCAGCCGTCCATTTGTCTGGTGCCTTGAACTTCAAGATGGCAGCAAGCGCTGGGTCTGGACAATGTTTCACAAACATCATAGTTGCTTCTTGGCAAGGGTTATCCAGATGCCGTCCTAATCTCTTTAAACCCTCTTCCGCTGCATCAACTGCCTTGTTCAAGCGTACCCAGTAATCTAGGGGTGTTTCTCTTGCTAGTGGCACAGTGTTATAAAAGTCGGCCATAGGCATACATGAAAAGGGCACATCACTGAAATGTTGTCTAAGGATGCTGTAGACAATATCTGGTTTTTCCTGAGGCTTTAGTGAAGGGCTGCTTCGCAGTGTAATTCTCACAATGTCCTTAGCTTTTCCCATCAACTTAGAGAGAATCTCAGTGTTCTGTTCGTTAGTGGGTGTGCCTCGTTTTCTGAAGTAGATTTTCATTAATTCTTCCCACTCGCCAACAGTGTATTTGTCAGAACCATCTCCCCTGAAAGTGGGGGGTTCTTTGACATCTGGCTGTAGTACTAACTTTGCCCCAGTCAAGTTGAGGTAAGTGGGTTCACTCTGTGATTGGCCCACACTGCTCTGAGATTGCAGACCCTTCACACTCCCTTCCCCACATTCACCCTTAAGACGGTCCATTATGGACTGTCCAACTTGTTGTGCAATGCTTGTAATAAGGTCACTTAATGGTGGATCAGCACTAACTGAATCGTCCGGAACTGCACCATCATACTCAACGCTAGAAGATACATTCTCAACTACACGCGTAGAACAAAAGGCTGGAGAGCCTGCATCATGACTGTTTCGAACTGGGGTAAAAGGCGAAGCCTCAATCATTCTCCCTCTCCCCACAGAGAAGTTAACATGACTCAATGAACATTTATCCTCGTCTGCCTTATTTTTAACATAAGTCATTTTCTTTTTCTTTTTTTTTTAAATTTTCTTTTACAATCGTTTACATAAATGCAAATATTTAAAATGTATATATATATTTTGTTGTTGTTGGTGGAGCAAAACACTATTCAACATCCAACTCTGTTATACTATTCAGTTTGTATAGATGTCTTAATGTAACAAGCAACCTCTGGTGACCAGCTGACGTTGATCCACTCTTCACGAACCACGTGATGAACTTGTCCGAAGCAGTGTGGATCCGGGTCACGGCACCACTGTAGCCGACTTGGACTCTGCGTTGTGTAATAAAAGGGACCAGCAGACGAGGACTCGGGATGTCTAGCAGGTTTATTCTGTTTTAAAACAAAAATAAATCAGTGCAACAGTCTGGGCTCCGACTTTCCCACATACAGCACACACCTCTCCCCAGCGCAGTTCGGCGCGAACTCACGCAGAATTCCATCAGAGGTTCACTAACATTGTTTAACATCTAAACAATCAAAACAAAAACAAACAAATCACCTGCCCGACAGTCGCCACTCCCACAATTCAGATTGAATCAATAAAAAGATATATATGAAAACATATTAATTACATTACTCTAACATCCAGATAACACTTTGAAGAAACTCACATACCTGTTTTAAAACAAAAATAAATCAGTGCAACAGTCTGGGCTCCGACTTTCCCACATACAGCACACACCTTAAACGATCAAAAAAACAAAATTAACCAGGTTGCCTTGGTAAACTCAACAAATGTCGGAATGGTGGGAATCAGACACCCAATACAGTACTGCACCAACATAAAACAGTACAAAAACAATATATAAGATATATTAAATTAGCAAACATACTTTTCTTAGAATATCTGGAATGTTTTCATAAACAAACTGATGACGGCTCTGTGCACTCACCTCTCCCCAGCGCAGTTCGGCGCGAACTGAGGAGAGTAGCGCGAACACACAGGATGTGACGCAAAAACAGGAAACAAGAAAATAAACAGGAAACAAGAAAATAAAAGCTTCTTTACCAAAATAAAATTACAACTCAAAATCCAAGAAAAACAAATATACATAGATAATGAAAATGGATTTGGGATGAAATATAAACAAGTTTTTTTGCATACTTGCTACATCTGCATTCAAATGGCAGAAAATAGTATCAATCAGAACAGTGTACTTTTCAGTCCCGCACAGCGCCTTCTCCCACGGAATCCGAACAGAAAGAGCGCGACCGAGAGTGTGGGAAAACCTTTCACAGCCTACAATGGTATGATCCACTAATTTATATTTTTAAACTCCAAACTGATACTAGAAATAATGACCCATGAACTAAATATGTTCAACAGCAACAATAATAATTCCCATTTCTATTTACAACACATGAAAGTTTAATAAAATAATAATTTGGAGACAGGAAGTTACCTGCTGGATTACAATGGATCTGTCGTCCTTTCAAAATAAAGCTGCCGGTGCTCAGAATTTCCCATCGGAACACCCTCCCACTTAACAATCTAGTGTAACAACATCACATCGCTACACTCTGAGGAAAAAGAATCAAACTAAGAATCGGGACCAGGAATGTCTCCAGTCTGGTTCTCCTGGATCCTTCAGATCAGATCCAGGTTTTCATCTCATCACTGGATCTAAAATATTCTGGTTCTCCGGAACTCGTCTCTTCGGTGTCGATATAAACTAGAGCTGCTGTTGGCAGAAAAATGGATGTGACTGTTTGGTGGAGGATGAGCGTCTCCCTTTCCATGGAGATGATCTGCACAGCGATGGATCCCGACCAGGAAATAAAGTTCAGTTAGTTAAGAAACATCAGAACAGGAAGCCCATGACTTTTACTGAAATGAAATCCAAACTGAATATATAAGGTCTGTTGACTTTGCATAAATTAATCAAAAATAAAAAAAGTATTTCAGAAATTTTACTGTACTTATTTAAATAACAAATTTATTGGTAAACTTATGACTAAAAGATGGATCAAAAAACAGAATGGAGAGTGAAAAGTTTTAATAAATTTCATCTATCAAAATTGTGTTTCTCTAAATTATTCTGAAACTACATGAAGAATAAACTAGCGATGATACATATCGTGCTATTAGCATTAGCTTTAGAAGAGCTGGAGATACAGACTGTTGTTTTTCAGTTATGACGGTCTCACGTTGCATTTGGACTAGAAACTCAGATCTGGCAACCTTCCGAACGGCGCCATGTTTGTTATTTATGAGCGTGAGGCGCATGCGCTGTGCTACATAGAGACATGGCGCAGCTTCATCATCATCGTTTTAAAAAAGAGGCGGGTCGGACGTTCATCCACTGAAACCGGGATTAAACCGAGATTAAACCGGGTGTTCCCGATCTCTCAGGACGTCGAGTGAGCGGCCAGCATGAAGGACTTTTGCGGTTATCCTGAAATCATCTCAGTTTTGACCGAGGCCTAGTATTTTGGCGCCTTGTACTTGACCTGCTGGAGAGGCGGGAGCGCCATGTTTGTTTCTCGGTCATTTACCTTTCGGTAAGTTGCTTGTTGTTTACATGATGAAGTTCTGGAAGCCATTTTTGTTTCAGAAGAGGAGCAACCGGCCGCAGCGTCTCAGCGCGGTTTGGCAGGAGTTTTATATCGTTTTCTTCTTTAGGATAGAAATTCACCACAAACCTCTGATATCAACAAAAACTTTCCGTAGGAAGGAAAGAATAAAAATACATCCAGACTATTTGGGCCAGTTATTATCGCGGGTTTAAATAATGTGAGGGTTTTAATTGTGTCGGTTTTAAGGGCCGTTAACAAACATGCAGGGAATAAATCGATTCCAAACATTTATGAATAAACACCGAGGCTCTTTAAATGTGTATACGCTTGAAATATTAAAGTGATATTTGTGACTGTATGGAAAATAGAGCAGCATATTGCAGTAAGCATATAGCGGGGAGCAAAAGAAGATTTCCGCATGTCCCTTACAGGGCCCCGTATGAATACTTTATGGAGAGTTTATATTGGGAATAGTTCTGTATTATTTGTATTTAAATGAAGCTGTGTGTGTGTGTGTGTGTGTGTGTGTGTGTGTGTTGTTGACAGTCGCTCTGAGGCTCCTGCCTCTTTAAATCAAAATCCCGTTAATGAAAATCCCCTGAGCTCCCCGCCCTCCGCTCCGAGGCAGGGAGTCCGGACGGGACCGGAACTGGATCCCGGACCACCGCAGACCCGTCCTCCCAGCCAGGTACGGTACCGTTCAGCCCTAGCAGCAGCGGGACCGGCCGGCAGCGGCCGCCCGCGCGCTGCTCCCCCCGCTGAGCCGGCAGCTGCTGTCGGAACCGGACGGAGCTACGCTCCGGGTATGGACTCTCCCGGACAGGTTGGGGTTGATTTCAGGGTGTTTGCTGGTTTCTGTGCACAGGGCGACCCTGCTGGGCGGAGCTGAGAGCCAGGGCGGGGCGGGGCAACCTGGCCCAGGTGGAAAGTCACACAGTTTCTATGAGAGGCTGCAGGTTTGAGTTCAGAGACTGAAAACATCTCCAGACAGTTGCTCTGCTGGTTCTGGTCCAGTTCCGCTGGTTCTGAACGGCTAATGGAGCAGCAGAGCTGACCTTTACTCAGCCTGAGCCGGAGGAGGGGACACTCCATTTACCAGCTGGTCTGACCTTTCAGACAAGGCCACTTTATTAGGTACACCTGATGGATGGGTGGATCGAGCAGGTGCTCTCCAGGCCTCCTGAGACTCTCTGGGTCCCTGCAGAGGCTGCCTGTCCCAGTTCTGCAGAACCATGGATCTGGATCTCTGTTAGGGCCCATAGGTTGGTCTGATTGGGAGGAGCCCAGGAGGAAGGATGGATCTGGAGCCTGCAGAGGCTCAGCAGCGTCTCTGTCGGATTCCCCTCTAAACTTAGTAGGTGACATTCGACACTGAGCAGAACCAGCTGCTCTGGGATCAGCCTCCCCACCCTGAACAACAGGCTACATGCTACAAGTTTCAGGCTACATGCTGTAGCTTGCATGCTACATGCTACAGGTTACATGCTACATGTTACATCCATGATCCAGGTTAGGGTTAGCATCAGGAAAAACTGTTATTAGAGGTCCTTTTAATGATTTTCATCCAGACTGAAGCCAATAAGAAATGATAAGGATCCATTTCTGCTCCTGGTTCTGGACTCAGTGATGGTTCTGGACTCAGTGTTTGAGTGGTTCTGGTCCCAGTGAGGTATTTGGCCTCCTGTTGCTGACCTTTCCCGTATCGGACCTCTCGGCGCTATCATCTCCAGATAACAAGACGTTTCCTGCCGGCTCCTGGTTGTGTCCGTGGGAGACCCTGTAGAGGGTCTGGAAGAATCGGAGGGTCTATATTAACCTGGTGAATCACAGCGAGCCTGGCATTCCCTCTCTCCTTTCACGCCATATAAGTCCTACCCCTCCTCCCCGTCCGCACCCCCTCCCACAATGCCGCGCTGCGATCCCTGGCTATTCTTAGCGCCGCGCCCCGCCGCCTCATCTTCCTCAGCCTTCCTCAACCTTCCTCCTGCCTGACCATTCAGACGGTTCCTCTCTTCCAGAGCGTCTCTGCGGTTCGGAACCGAGGATCCGCTGGAGGAATGAGCTGCTACACAGTGACCCTGCCGGGCCCCGGGCCCTGGGCTTCAGGCTGCAGGGGGGCAAGGACTTTAACATGCCACTGACCGTCTCCAGGGTAAGCATGGGGTCCGATCCGGTGGGGTCCGATCCGGCAGAGGGGTGTAAATACTTAAGGAGAGTTTCTGGTCGGACTGAGACTCTTTGCTGAACCAATCAGCCTCCAGCTCTAGTTTCATCATCAGGGAGACGTTACAGTGAAGCTGCTTGTTGCTCCCCATCATCCCACGACTGGCTGCTGAGTTGGGCCTGCTGCTGCGGCCCCTCAAGGCCCCCGAGGCCTCGGCGGCCCCTCATTGCCTCGGCGGCCCCTCATGGCCTCGGTGGTCCCCCGTGGCTTCCACGGACCCTCGTGTCCTCGGCAGCCCCCCGTGGCCTCCGTGGCCCCTCATGACCTCGGGGGACCCCTAATGGCCTTGGCGGCTCCTCATGGCCCCTCATGGCCACCTGTGGCCTCCACGGCCCCTCATGGCCTTGGCGGCCCCTCATTGCCCCCGAGCCTCGACAGCCCGTCATGGCCTCCGCGGCCCCTCGTGGCCTCGGTGGCCCCTGAAAACAGAGCTGCAGCTTCTAAAACTGGACCGGGTTTATGTTTCCAGAGCTCGGTCTCTGAATAGCAGGTTCTGTCTTCATGGCCGCGCTGGCATCTGTTCTGGTTCTGCTGGTTCTACTGGGCCCTTCTGTTGGTGACTCTGGAACTAAACTCTAGAACATTAAACCAGAACAATAAAAACCCAGAAGTGTGGTTCTCCTGAGGTTCTGCAAGCCCAGGTTGCTCTGACAGTGACCAGTGGTCGGCTCGGCTAACTGGAATTAGCTAAGCTAACCCTAAAGCGCTAATCATAAACATTAGATCTGCTAATGCTAACTCATTCATTCATTTGTTATGCTCTTAATATTTGTTCAGTTTATTTATAAAATAAGCCGATACAATATTTTGAACAAACTTCAAAATAAGAGCATGAATATAAATGCTCAACTGCTTGGGGAATTATTAAGTTGATAACTAAAACTTCAAATTTGTGCTTTAGAATCTGTTTGGAACAGTTAATTTAGGGAAGCAGATTGTGGTAAAAGTTAACAAAGCCGCTAAATGTAACGTTAGCTCTGCGATTAGCAGAGTGGCGTTAGTATGTCCTCCACTGCTAGCTTCCTTCAAGTCATCTGGATCGTTGGTTCCGCTGTCTTTCTTCCTCTGATATCAGTCCATTTATTCCCTTCAAGGTTCTGGCCAGGCCTGTTGAGCTGCTGTTGCCAGAGTGATAAACTGGTACTGTTTGTAATGTGGGTCGGTACCAAGTCCTGCTGGAAATTGAAATCAGCGTCCCTTAAAACTTGTCATCAGAGGGAAGCATGAAAAGCGCTGAGTTTACACTTTTTCCTTCCACTGAATTTTCCACTCATAGTGTCCCAACTCTCAGTAGCAGCCCATGTCATTAGAAATGAGTGTTTTCTGAAAGGTTCTGATCGGTCCAGTAGAACTGTTCTGTCATAGACATTTTTATTGGTCCGATCTGATGGTTCTGTTGGTTCTGATGGTTCTGTTGTGGTCCGGTGTCTTACGAAGCCTCGTATGTTCTGGTTGATTTGAACCGAACATTTTTATCCAGAGGAAGAAGCAGCTCGGTTCTGGTTCTGGTCACCTGGTTCAGATGTCAGAACCTCCTGCAGTTCTTGAGGTTCTACTGATGTTGGACTTTAATGTTCTGAAGGTGTCAGGAGAACCAGAACCATCAGTGA